ATATATATATATATTTTGCCTTTTTTCCTTCTTTTTCTGCATCAGGTTATTTACTGAATTATGAAATCTGTGGCTGCAAAGATTTTTATTTGTTTAATTGTGTTGGATAACACGATACATTCTGATACAGTGTTGGTGATTATCTTGAAGGCTTTCTGCTACTACTATACATCAACTCGTTAACAAGAATGCTGTATTCCGTTCTGAATATCTGTTTAATGTGCTTGAAAGCATGATATAAGATGGTATCTCCTACACAAGAAGCCTCTGCTGCTTCAATATGTCATTTAATGATATAAGATGGTATCTCCTACACAAGAAGCCTCAGCTTCTTCAATATGTCTTTTACTTTCCTCCTCTGCGCTCCCCCCTATGCTTCTTCTTTTCTTTTCCCATTTTTCAGTGGAGGCGGTGGGGCAGTGAATTCCATTTTGGTTCATTAGCATATGCTTGATGGCTAAATTATTGTAAGCGGACACGGCCAATTCTTCCAAACAAATGGCGTAAAAACTTGAGCAAAGAGTTTTTAGGATTTGAGCAAAAAAACTAACCAAATGCCTTCATAAGAGTCACATTTCTATGCTTTCTGTTCTGTTGAAATCCATTGTTGCAGGAACAAAAGATCATTCTGATCATTACCTCTTTAATATTCATTCTCTTGTCCTTCAAAGTCTGCCTGTCGAAATTAGTTGGTCATGGATTTATTTAAATTACTCGGTCATTTTTCACTTGTTTGTATGCTGTTTAATTACCAGGGTTGGGGATTCTGGGATAATAGCTATTGCTAGAGGTTGCCCTCAACTCAATCACCTGAGTTTAACAGGTTTACAGGTGTGGGGCCTCTCTCTCTTGCATATTTTTTACACATTAACTTGGTAATTTTGTAGAATGTTTTATTAGGAGCTGGAATCATTAAATGTTATATACAATCTATTCTTATTGTCAAAGTGTTTGGCATGCTTAGACTAGTAAAAATTTATTGATAGACTCTGTAGTATGGACTTCAATTAGGATATCGTGTCCATATTCGACACGTATCGGGAATACCGAAACTCTTCGGACACTCTACCATGATCATTTTTCTTTCTTATTTGAAATATTATATATTTTTAACTAAAATTTCTTAGTAAATAACAAATATGTACTCATAATTAAAATATTTCAATAAGAAAAATTAATAACAAGTATAAAACTAAATTTATACTATATAAATGAAGAATTTTAAATAATTTAATCAACGTATCGACGACGTATTGTGTTAGTGTTTTTTTAAAAAATCGTGTGTTGACGTATTCAAAGTGTCATGTCGTGTCGGACATACGTGTTCTTGTCGGTACATCATAGTTGATAGATATTGGAAGCTTTTGGATGTACAGATTTTTGTTCAGTTGGCACGGAACTTCATGTGTGATGTAATAGAATAAGCATTATCAAAATAAGAATTACCATGGCATTTAATGCATTATTGCCATTTTAACGCATTTGTATTTGTGAACACATTTTCTTCTTGGTTCTGAAGATGTCATTTAACATTATGTTATTTTGAGATCTCATGGAATATTGAAAGCTTTGTATCTTGTTAAAAAATTAAGAGTTAATGACTTCGCATCAACGTGCAATTTATGTATGCTGAATAGATATAAGCTTTCTTGGGCCATTGCATTTGTTTATGCATGTCTCAATTGCTTTCTATGAGTGCAGAACCTGGGTGACAAGGGAATGGTGGCACTTGGTGAAGGCTGTATGGTACTAGAAACTTGCGATATTTCTTTTTGCCCTTGCATTACTGAGGCTGGAGTTACTACCTTGATTACAAGTTGTCCAACTTTAAAGAAGGTACTCGTTGAGGAGCGAAAGGTTAGCCCAAGGACCAAACGTCGAGCTCATCATCTTTTTAAATATGTTTGGACGATTGAGTAGTGTTTCAATTCGAATCTAAAAACCTAGATGATGGAGATGTACTTTTAACCTTTGGTGTATACATTTTAACAATCCACAGCATGTTTAAGCCAAAGTATTGCAATGATGTTTGTGTTGACCTATGATTCAATATAGCTCCACTATGTTTTATTATAACAAACAAACAATACACTTATGTTTCTAACAAGTCTTGTTTTTTGAGTTTTTCATGAATAAATCTTCTTAAACTTTCAAAGACTCAAATCGACATCCGTTGAAGAACAAGCAATCAAAAGAGACTCAAAGAGAATAAGAACTTTGAAGATTAGAATTTAGAAGTTGTTTATCGAAACTTCAATTTATATGTAAAGGTATCAACTCATCGATTTTTAGAAAGTGCGTAAAGCTCAAACTATTTTTTCATAATTCATAACGGTTTGAATTTTACAAAGGTTATATTAACACTTCGGTCGATCGAAATTGATCAACCGAAATTTCTTGATTTTCAATCTTTTGATCTATAAATAGCCATCTCGTTTGCATTCAATCTTAACCACTTACAAGAGCAATTAAGAGAGTATATTTATTGAAAATCATTGAGCTTACTTGATTATATATTCTATTTCATTTATTACAAAGAATTTCTTGATTGATAAAATTAGTTTCATCTATTTCATCAAGAATTATATTTTGCAAGAAAACTTCTCAATCTCATTTCAATTATCGATAAAGGTTTTCTTTGTCAACACTTATATTGAAGTGCAAATCTCTCTTTATACTTAACTTGTCTTATCGTTAAGAGAAATCATTGGTTGAAAACTTTGATACAAACATACAAACTATTTCATTATCCATCATTCATCAAAGTTTACAAGATAAACAATTGAGCTCTATTATTTGCTATCTATTGAAGTGTTATCTTAACTCTCTAAATACTTGACTTGATTATATCATTTGTTAATAGAGTTCTTTCAATTGTAAAATTATCATTTTGGTGGTTTTGAGAGTCTTGTGAAAACTCGATTGTTGTTAAGGATAGGTGCTCATTGTTGTAAGTCACCTAAAGATAAGTGCTCCTAATTATAAGTTACTTAAGGATTGATACTCCTTATTTGTATGTTACCATTATAGTGTATTTGGCTTTGTTCATGACGGAGAGCTTGTTAACGAGGACATAAAACACATTATATATTGAACCCCATTAAATTCGCTTGTTATCTTTACACTATTGCACTTTACTTTAAATTGCTATTTATATTGTGATATATCCATACTTGAACTAAGTTATCGAATTTGCATATTTACTTCTCGTATTACACTTTGCATTTATATCTTGTATATTAAATAAGTTTGAGACTAATTATCAAAAAAGTTTCAAAAACCAATTCACCCCCTTCTTGGTTAGTTATTCTTGAGTTATCAATTCGTCCGAAGGTTTTCCAAATGTACCTTTGTCTCAAGATTGGTTTTCCATATACCAGTGAGTTTCTAAGCGTGATGCACATTTTGGCCTTTTTTTTGTCATCAACAATTTTAAATTTCAATCGAGAAAGTAAAAGTTATTACAAGTGTGATATTTGGCTGAAATAAGCAAGTATCCTGTTGGTATCTAATAATATCTCGATTCACCTTGATTAGCCAATGAGTATCCAAATGCATGGTTCTGTTGAGTCATTGAGTTATTGCCTCTTCAATTCGATTATTAAATATGGGTTTTGGTTCTGATTCAATTTTTTTCGTCTGAGAGATTTACAAGTAAGTTATCTTAGATTAGTTTCTTTTGTAATTTTGGTAGAAGAAAAAAACACTTCCAAAAATTTATAAGCACTTGTTCAAAGGCAGCTTATTAGTTTCAGAAGCTGCTTCTAAAGTCTTTCCAAACGAACCCTAAATCGACTTAACCAATTAGGGTAATCAAATAAGATGGAATTAGGTATGTTGTAATTAATTGAGTTCTAACAATTTTCTCTGTGATTCTATTTTCTTTTTGATCGCATAAACAATTGTAATTTTTGAAGCAAAATTCATTGTAAATAAAAATGACTAAAAGGGAAAGTTATTGAAATTTTTAAAATTCATTTTTAATCAAACATTTAATTGGATCCAAAATTTTTATCAAACTTTTACACATATATTTCATCAATTTTAATCAAAATTTACTAATAATGTAATTCGTAGCTAAATCAAACACGGTCTAAACTACAAAATATTATAATATTATTGCCAACATGAAACAATATAATTATCATCCAACACGATCTTGTGCAGGCAAAGTCACTTATCATTCCTATCACCATTACTCATACAGCAACTACGGATTACAACAAACTAAGATCGAAATTTCAAACCAAACGTGTTTACTGATTTTCTGTTTTGAGAAATAATTTTTTAAAATGACAAACCAAACGCAATTTTGACAATCTCAAAACAGAAAACTGAAACACAAATCAAACGAGCCCTAAGCAATTTACTTGTATGAATGGAAAACTTAAAGATCATAAATCATAACATATGCAGACATAATCTGTTTCCAGCACTCTCTCCACCAGAAAATTCATATGAATGAATTCTTTGTAGATATTATAAGAAAAACAGTATACACGTTCGTTTTTCCAAAGTATAATGACGTCAAATCAATTCCAATTCTTATCAAGCATATCCAGAATCTAAGACTCAAAGAGATTGTTTAACACCTTACTCCTTAATCCCACTCATATTTTCAGAAATTTTTAACAACCTTCAATCTCTAATGCTTTCTCCAATGGTTTTTGCCTTGCGGAAATTTCAAAGAAACCTGGATTGTTACGAGTATGGAATACTTTTAACATCTTATTACATTCACGGCATAGCGTAAACAACTGATAAAATTTCTAACCAAAATTCAGTAACTTTATATACCACATCCAAAACACACAGTAATAGAGACAAGAAATCTAACCCTCCAAGACAAACTTTAATGGATCAAGAATCTAATACTTTGAGACGGAAAATTTAAAAATAATGTTAGATGTTTTCTTTATCAGATTACGCATTATTCGTAACAGTAGTACTGCTCTAACTATAGCAGCTGGTTTGGTACACAATATTTGACAGCACTTCATAGGATAACAGCCTTAAGCTCATTCAATGCTGACTAGTCCTACACAGCCAACATGCCATGAGGGCAGGAATTATCGGGCAGTATACATGATTCTAACTCATTCAATACTGACTAGTCCTACACAGCCAACATGCCATGAGGGCAGGAATTATCGGGCAGTATACATGATTCTAACTCATTTTTCTCCTTCAATATTGTCTAGTACTATAGAGTCTATTCTACCGAACAATTCACTAGTATATTGCAGGAATTAAAAAATTCACATTGGCATAAAACCAAATATACCCTTGCCTAGTAAAGAAGACTTCTGCATGTTTATATAAGTACTTGATTCAAGTATAAAACTCACCAAGTAGCAAAAACATATTCATAAATGTAGAGAGAGATACAATTTCCAAGTAGCAAAAACATATTCATAAAGGCAAAAAACTTCATGCCAAGAATCTCCAACTATTTTAGTCATCAATGTAAAACATTCAGTGGTATGAAAGTGTACTGAGCTTTAAATAACACATGCTTAAAGACAAACTTTAGGAACTAGAAATATGATACAATGGTTGAGCATATTATTAGTGAAACCTATAAATCACATCAAATCGGCCAAGTAACGATACCACCACACCCAAAATTTTGGGAGAAACATTAAATTTATTCCTACAGATGGTAAGTCGACTTGAACAGAAAAATGTATACTATGAAAAATACCTGTAGTAATTCTGTCAAAACCAAAAGGTTGTAAAAGATCTACAGGTCTCAAGAACCTCTACTTCTTTCCAGAATTCTCCCAAAACACATCTCAAAATGAGAAGAATTATCTTGGCAAAGTTTCTTTACCAAAGAAAGGAAAATATATTCACTTACTTCAAAACCCATTTTCAGCATATAATCTAAAACAAATAAAGCATCACTCAACTTATCAGCCTTAGATAAACATTGAACAAGTCTCTCAAATGTCTGCTTCTGTGGTTTGAGCCTGCTCTTAAGCATAGTGCCTAACCACTCCATCCCTTCTGCAACATTTCCTTGCTCACACAATCCAAGTATCATTGCATCATGAGCGGAAACTGCAGGTTCCACACCCCTATCTACCATATCTTTCCAGAATGCTTTTGCTTCCCCCACATTTCCAGCCTCACAAAGTTTTTCGATTAACACAGTATACGATGCAGTTGAAGGCTGCAAACCCTGCTTTAGAAGCTGATCAAGAAAGTATCTACCCTCTGATATCTTCCCTCTCTTGCTGAAGCCTTGAATCAGAGAATTATAAGTGATCGTGTCGGGAACAATACCTTTCTCAGCCATTTGGTCGAACAAGACATGGGCTTCATCTAATTTTCCATTTAAGCAAAGGCCATTAATCATGGTATTGTAACTCACAATAAATTCTCCATAACCTCTTTCACACATATTCTTGTAAAGCTTCTCAGCTTCCTCAGTATTACCAGTCCTCCACAACCCATTAATTAAGACATTATATGTATGCTCATTGGGAAAGATTCCCTTATTAATCATCTCAAACCACAATTTCCGAGCATCTCCAAGCCATTTCATTTTACAAAGACCGTGAATCATTGTTGTATACATGACCTGATCTGGAAAGTACCCTCTATCCTTCAGAGTATTAAAAATTCGAAGAGCTTCATGCCTCATTCGTCTTTTGCATAAACCGTGAATAACTTCCTGATATGTGTGTATATCAGGAGAACAATTCTTCGCAATCATGGTATGAAGAAGAGCAGACACTTTGGCATAATCACCACTCTTGCAAAATGCAGATATCAACTTATTGAATGCAGAATTGCTTGGAACATGCCCCACCTCCAAAACTTGTTGAAGAAGCTTGTGGCCTTCTGCAACTTTGTTTTCAATACAAAAAGCTTGGACTAAGTATCCAATTGTATCCACATCACCAACAACTTCCCTTTCCAGCATGTCACTATACAATTTCCACACGATTTCGACTCTTTTTGCTTTGACTGACTGTAGCATAGCTGAATTCCATGTCTTCAACGACACAGAATGGCCTGCCATTTTCAGTCGTTCGAACACATCTAAGGCTTCCTCAACCAACCCGTTTTCAAAAAGACACCCAATATAGGACTCCAAACACCCCGGTTCTGGTTCAAACTTAGTTTCTTCAAGAAAACTCTTTGCGGCTATTGCAGCCTTGGCCTCCACAAGCCTACTAAAAATCATGTTACACGAAACAGGATCCGGAGAGAATCCATTTTGAGACCCGACCCAATAATAGAATCGGACCGATAACAACACATTTTTCTGCTGCTTCAGTACTTCGTTATAAACATTAGGATCCACGAAATTCACACCCGGAATATCAGATAAAAGCGTTTGTTCCCACCTGGGCCGGGTCTGAATAACATTGGAGATCTCTTGAGCAAAAACTACATCTGTGTTCTGCAAATTCTTTCCAAATTCTTCACATTGTCCATCAATTTTGTCATTACAGAAACTTCGGTTTCGGAATCGGTTTTGGGGATTAGTATTTTGAACGGGGTTGGGACTTTTCCGGATGCATAAATTTGAGAAAAACAATGGAGGTTTTCCCATCTAAATTCAGCTTTACTGATTTTTCTAAATTCTTCCTCTTCAATGAAAATGTAAATAAAAATATAGCATCAAAAGATTGATATTACATTGAGCACATACCTTATCATATACATATACATTCGTGTGGAAAGATTCGTTCTTTAAAGAACTTATTTCATTCATAAAGAGTCTTACAGAGGTTTAGCTGTGGAGAGTCGAACGCAGGAGTGAGAGAAATTAGAAGCGCACTCTGGTTTTCTCCAGTTTGAACCAAAACCGCTTCTATTTCTCAGCGCTTTTTAATTGGATTGACTTCTTTATAGAAGATGAGCCGATGGCAGGTCCAAGAGAACATGTAAGAATTAGAATAAATACCATGTTCTCTGCCCAGTCATTCCTTGATGAGGTGAGGTCCGGACATCTTGTCTTCCCTAATCAATTTTTTTAAAGTTTCATAGTAGCAATAATTGAAGATGCTTGCATAGGTTTGGAATCTAAACAAAGATTAATTTTCAAATTTTCTTTACATACTAGTTTTCGCCCGTCCGATGTACAGATTAGATTATATTGTAGGCATCATTAGCATTTAAAATGAGTTGAGTCATGTATTTATAGTTTAATTAGTCATTAAAAATCAATTGACAAGTATTCAATAATTGAATGTAATATTTATCATATGAATCTCAAAACTAAATTTTGGAGATGTGAAAAAACACGAAAATGTGGAATCCTTATAAACAAAAATAAAAAGACAATAGCTTTGTGCAGTAAATGTGAAGTGCAAGTGCACAAATTTTCATCTAGATGCTCTCAATTATCTTTATCTATATTATTTATTTTACTATGGTCAAGAAATTATTCTTTTGAGTTTACAGTACTTTTATTTTCTCAATCCAGATAGTAATATAATCTGAATAAAAGGTTTGCATATATTTCCACCTTAAATTATATATTCTATCTCCCCTGAAAATGCTATCGATTACTACCCAACAAGTGATTATTCTTAATTAACAAAATTGATCGATGAATGGAGTACTTTATAAAACTCACTGAAAATGCTATCGATTACTACCCAACAAGTGATTATTTTTAATTAACAAAATTGATTCATGTATGTTGGATCAATTGCACAAACCTGCTTGGATCAATATTCTTGGCCCTTTTTATGTAGAACACAAACATAAACAACATTTTGTTATAAATATCATATAGGTGAACTGATTGTCCCAAAACCAAGCCTATGACGTACTTCGAAAGTTGAAATTGAATGAAATAACAAGAAAAAAAATCTAAGAACTTAAGGAAGAGCTAATCTCAAAAGAAAGTCAAAAACTTAAACTAAGTAATCCAATTAGAAGCAACCAGAATATTGAATATATAAATTATTTAGCATTATGATAATAATTTGCCATATGAATGGCTCACCCTGCAATTCAGAAACGGTGTATGAGCCTATGAGTTGTTGATCTAATTGGCCAAGAATATAACAACGCACTCCAGTGCTCAAACCTGGATTTGCATTAGAACTGTTCAGGTCGCCTATGAAATTTAGAAAAAAATCCTCATTTCAATTCTCTTAACCATTTCTCTAAAAGAACAAACACATGTACCATATTATTTATATGTATATAGATACAATTGTGCATAGTTAATAATCCTAACAAGTTGACTGGAAAAACATACCAAATGCACAGTAAAAATGAAGTCAAACAATAGACGACCTGAAAGCGCCATAAAAAATCTAGGATTATTTACATGTATATATAGAATATTTTAATTCATATGTTCTGAATTAAATTAAATAGTTGAAAATTAAATTTGATTAGTATGTTGAATGTATAATTATGGTAAACAGAGAATGAAATGGTATAGTACATGGTGAATAATTTAAATACTTACCCATTATTTACGGAAGGTTGACATGGTATGATCACTAACCCCATTTCTCTGTCTATGTTTTTTCTTTAGGAAGCGTCTGTAGGCTGCGAATTTCGGATGCATTAATAAGTGCATAGTTATAGCGATTGCTACATTTGAATGTGCTTTAATTTGCTCTTGTGTATGAACATTGTTGCTGTAGTCGTATGTGTACACTTTCCATTCGTGAATGTTCACACAATATAGATACCATGTGTTTCCTGGATACGGACATGGAATTAACATGCACTTGCATTTTATACATGGACGACCATTTATTGGCAAATTGTCATATAAATAGTCTTGTAGAATAGGTAAATTTGCTTAATCATTTATGATATTCGTGTCCAGAATTTCTATTTGTACCATCATCGACGAGTACACTCGTTTTCATAGTTGAAATCTAGGATTGCATATTCTTCTGAAATGGTTGTAGGACTGTCGTTTATGCATCGCCTCAACAATTTCCTCAACAATTTTAACTCCAAATCAAGACTCTAATAAAAGAAATCGATGTAAATAACGGGTATTACATATGAAATTAAATTTATTATAATAAATGAGTTTTACTAACCGCAGTAGTTATAGGTTGTGTTATGTCCATCATAACTTCTATTATGTCTTTTTTGTACATATTTTTAGATCCATCATCCAAAGATGCGATGCAAAAAAAAATTATTACTCAATTCGAGATGAATTCAACAATGTGTAAAAGAATAAAGTAGAATTAGAGTGGTTATCTTTGTGGATTTTTTGTTATCCAATTTGTAAGTGTTAAGTATCTGTTCATAGAGTAGTCTTCGAAAGGATAATTCATTGATGGTATTGAAAATTGTGCCTTTTTCCCTTTCTGTATTTGTTGTCTTGCCTGTACGTAATGTCTTCAGTTGGTTGAGATGTTGATGTATGTTGTACAGCAGGACTCGTATAGACAGAAGCATCTTGATGAAGAGAACCTACAATGGCTTCCATATTTGATTGCCAATTAGATAATTGTCGAGCATACTGTTGTGTTGTTCATCNCCTAGTTGTTGTGTAAATGTGATATATCTGATACAATGGTTGTTCTTAGGTTGTCGTTTAAATCAGACACTTCTGATACTATTTGCTGCTTATATGTGTTTAGCATTTGCTCAATTTATTCTCTCATAATATAGTTAGAGCTAATATGAGTAGATGTTGAGGTAGCTGGAACGGAAGTACGATGGGTAGGTGGCATGGTATCAGGCTGATGACAATCCCGTAAAGTATGCTATGTTGGTTGTCTTCTGGCATTTAAAGAGTTGTATACCAGATTGTTTGTAATTCTTTTGTCGTAGGTTGTAATATTATGTTTGCTTGAATCTGTAAGTATAATAAAATAGGAAAATAATTTGTTTTGATTTTTTTCAAAAGTAAAAAAAGAAAGTATATGTATATTGTTATACGATAAGGAATGTAACGAATACGTGGAATACCTCATGGGTGGACAAAATTTGTCTAATTGTATTTTCTGTTAATACTTTATGCGGTCTCCATCTGTACATCCTTGGTGTTCGTATTGTTCTACTTTTAGATTGTCCAAATTTTCGGCCAATCCTTGGAAGTGCTTCGTATATCCAGTACTTACATAAACAGAAATATATATTAGATATATAAGGTTATAAATCAGCGAATAAAATTATATATAGAGTAGCAAAAGTAACAGAATAGAAGAATAGTACCTGAAATGCATGTGGATATCCATGTAATGAATATTTGGATTCGAGTTATTCATTTTGATACATTCTCTGTACTCTTTCTACATGTGATGCTGTAATGACCTCAATAGAACAACATATGCCTGACAACCCCATGGATGTGCAAGTAAGGTATCAACATTTTCAATCATAGATAAAGTTTTTTGGTCAATATATCTTCATGTAGGTTTTAAAATACATTCTACGAACATTATTAGACCAAGTTTGAATTTGTCGTCTTCTTTTTCACAAAGGCGGAATGCTTCAGACAACATTGTCATTTTGATTCTGCTAATACCATTGAAGTATTGATTTCTAAGTCGATTGTTAGTAAATTCAAATTGTAAAGGCATGTTATGACATGGTAATCCTGTTACGAGGCAAAACTCAAGCATACTAAAGCGAGCCAACTGGTCATCTAATTTCACCCAAATTTCATTATTCTTACCACAATTCACAAGTCGCATTATAAACTCATGAAATAAGTCGATTGTTAGTAAATTCAAATTGTAAAGGTATCACATGGCATGGTAATCCTGTTATGAGGCAAAACTCATGCATACTAAAGCGGGCCAGTTGGTCATCTAATTTTACCCAGATTTCATTATTTTTACCATAATTCACAAGGCGCATTATAAACTCATGAACCAGTTTACCACTAAACTGTTGTTGTTCTTCAGATCTATCAAAAACACTGCATATAAATGCATGAAAGTTACTACCCATTATCTCAGCCTGTTGTTCTTCATTGATCAAATCAAAAAAATTCCTGAGATACTGATGATTGGAATATTGAGTAATGCCAGCAGAATACCATTCATTTGGAGGAAGGATATATTCCAAANATACCATTGGTTTGGAGGAAGTATGTATTCCAAAGACATCTGTATAGAAGGTAAGGAAAGTACTATATAAATATGTTAAATGTAAAGTGAAACTCTGTAATTTGTAATTAGAAAGCGGAAGAAAAGGTAAAGAAAGAGAAGGAACAGTTGACTAAATGGAAAAAATTCCTCACTGGATGTTTGCCTATTTTATTGTGTTGGAAAATTTGAAGTTTACTTTTAATAAGTGTAAACGTGCTTGTGCATAAGTATCAAATTTTTGGGAACATAAAATTGATGAACGTCAATAAGATTAAGATTAACACACCTTTTCTCCAGTAGAAAGTTCAAAGCTAAGTGTCCATAGAATTATACACAGAGATAGTTTTTCTTCTTCCTTTTTTCTACTTGGAAAGCTGAAGGGCAACAAAAATACAGTAAGTGGTTAGGTTTGGTGGTTATCGTGTATATTTGATTGAATGTACGAGTGGAATGGTTGGTAAGTTGGTATGTTGGGGTTAATGGGATGGTAGGTGAGGAGTGGGTAGGTGGAAATTAATGG